CCAAAAGATCAAAAGAAAAACATTAAGAAATTTCAGTTTTCAAAAAATAAATAAATAAATAATACTTCTTTGATGCATAAATACTTTACAATTAAAATAACATAGGTTTTCTATTTGATGGAATTGTTGAAATGATTAGTTCACTTCCAGAATAAAAATGTCCTGATGTGACTGAAGAAAGAAAGACGTGAACATCTTGGATGACATGGGGGTGAGGAAATTACCAGGACATTTTTATTCTGGAAGTGAACTAAACTTTTAATTGTCATTTTCATCTTTTTATATATCTCTTTCGAATTTTGGAGTGAGATATGGCTTGTGCATGGCAAGTTTCGCATGATTCACCCACACACAGGTTTTGTAGATATCTGAAATATGAGGTGGGTGTCTGAATGTTTATCTGAGGCTGCCGAGCAGTCAAACGCAATTTCAGCATTTGTGTGTTTATTATTTTTCAAATAAACATCCCTGAGTGTTACAATAAAGAAACCAAAGAAAGTTCCAAACGATCAAACCTGAAAGCAAGGCAGACGGGTTTGCCGATCGTGAAAGAGAGCAGAATGAAAGAGGGATGAAGGGAAGGAGACGGGAGTCGTCAGGGGAGTTTCTCCTGTGATGGTGTTTTAGATTGAATGTGACGGCTGGGACTCAGACTCTTGACTGATGCTGCTGGAGACAGACATGACACCTGAACTCATTTCTCTTTCTTCGGCCTCCTCTTTCATCTCTCTACACCTCTCTATCTCTGGCCGTCTTTAAACAACACTTCAGTTTTCTCACACAAACAGCTTATTCTCAAATGCCCTTTTTTTCCTTTCTTTTACAGTATTTGCCAGGCTGCACTGATATTCCTCAGACATTATATATATATATATATATATATATATATATATATAAAACATTAAAGTGTGACAAACATGCAAAAAAATAAGAAATCAGGAAGGGGGCCAACACTTTTTTACACCACTGTATATATATGACTCATTTTTGAGATTGCTCTTTTCTTGTCTTACATATATATTACATGAATATCTGAAATGTATAGAAAGACATTTTTTATCAGTAAACTCAATATTATTTGAGTTATTTGATATAATACTATATACAGTATATATATATATATATATATATATATATATATCAAATATATAGCAAATTTAAATTTTTTAAATAATTAATAATAAAAATAAGACTTTTTTTTATTCAAAATGACCCAATCATTTCATGACAGTTTTATCTAATTCACAAAATTATTAATTGATATTCATTCATAGAATGTTACCAAAAAGTATTGTTATTTAAGCCACACAGAAACATGAAGCTGATTATGAGGAAAGTTTTTGAAGCATTTGTTAGCAGATGACACTTTGATATTTGATGTAATGCAATGAAATTCAGGCATTTTTAAGTGTGGCGTGTGTGTGCAGTGTGTTTTAGACCCATGTGTCACTGTATCATCCCAGCTAAAGCTTTAACACTCTTCTTCTGCTGGTTTGCAGGCGCTCCCCTTTCCTTCAGGAAATGCAAATATACTTGTGTTTGTTGTCTGGCTGCTTTATCTAGCATCTGCTGGTGTTGGCAGGTTGTTAGCAGAGACCCTGTGATGCAGTGCCCATGTAATCTCTCTGATTAGTCTTTGTGTGTGTGCATCCAGATGAGTGCTGCCTTCAGACTCGGAGCATGTGAACACACACCTGAGACTCTTTGTGCACACAGCTGTTTGGACAGCACACATCCAATACCTTCTCTCCTATTTTCACAGTCAGACTCACTTACACCTGTCGGCTTTTCAAATCTCAGCGTTTGGATCCCGCTGCGGCGTAAAAGAACATCTTAATTATGCTTCTGTCTGTTAACGGTTTACATGCTGTGACGGCAGCAGATCTGCAAGCCTTGCTGTGACTATTGCTCATGCTTAGAGCTTGGGTCTTGTTCAAATCCCTAACTCAAAGTATTAAACTTTTGTGTATAACTTGTACTGCTGCAGATTACTGTGCTATTACTATGCTGTCGATTTAACACGTTCATTTGGTGTGTTAAATTATGGAAAAAGATAATGCATTAAAATTTACTCATTTAAGGCACCCTGGCCCACGTAGACCTGAACGTCATCTTACATTTCATACAGTTGCTGATGAACATCATGCAGGACGTAGCCTACGAGAATGCAGTTATACGCCCCTACAATTCAAGATATGAGCGCATATGCCCACGTATGGGTTTTAGTCTTATATTTATATCATATGTGACCCTGGACTACAAAACCAGTCATAAGGGTCAATTTTTCGAAATTGTGATTTATACATCATATGAAAGCTGAATAAATAAGCTTTCCATGGATGTATGGTTTGTTAGGAATATAACAATATTTGGCCGAGATACAACGATTTGAAAATCTGGAATCTGAGGGTGCAAAAAAATCTAAATATTGAGAAAATCGCCTTTAAAGTTGTCCAAATGAAGTTCTTAGCAATGCATATTACTAATCAAAAATTAAGTTTTGATATATTTACAGTAGGAAATTTACAAAATATCTTCATGGAACATGATCTTTACTTAATATCCTAATGATTTTTGACTTTTTTTTT